TGAACGGACGGACGGACCGACCGACGGGCTGATTACAATATACGCCCATCTTACGTGTGGGCGTATAAAAAATTAAATCCCCCTGATAGCCTAAGCAAATGAATATCTGATTCTCGTTTGGGGTACTTTACTAAAGTTAATTCTATGCAACACTTTTTTGGACAAGGGTTGTTAAAATCTGGTGAAGCATTGACAAGTGAAATATTCTACCCAGAGAGTTAAAGCTTGTTTTTTTACTTTTATTTCTATTTTTCAGACAAATAATGCTATAAATAAAATACAAGAGTTAATGAAAGCCAAGCCAGAAATGGTGAGAAAATAGAAATCATTTTTTACAAAAATGATGTATTTTTCTGATATGAAATCCTGATCAGGGCAGCTTTTTGGAAATTGAGCTTAATTTTCCTCTAAAAGTAGAACTTTGATGAAATTTTTGTTGAAATTTGGAAAGGTGATATCATATACCACTCCAGCTGAAATAGCCCATATAATTATATTACTTTTTGACATCCTAGCAGCAAAGTAATTTGACAGAGCTTTTGCAGTTTTAAGCTGTCATGTAAATCATCCACCATCTTCACAATGTCAAGTTATTACAAACATCTTTTTCCACCTTGACTGCTATGGCCAGTATTCTTGCAGCACTGAATGCAGCGATTTAGATTTAAGCAGAGAATAATCAATGAGAGCCCTGTCAGAAAAACTGTAAACTTTATGGCTTATAGTTATTGTTTACAGTGTTTTTGTGATGATAGCTCTGATTGACTGTATTTGCTAGAGTACAATCCAATCAAATCCCTGCATTTGCAAACTTCTGTGAAACAAGCTAGATGGCCTTAGCAGTGAAGGTATAAGATGAAGTTCGTAAAAGCTTGACTTTGTGATGATGCCCAGTCCTACTTAAAGTAATTTTGCATCTTTTTTCTTAAAAAACAACAATATTATATGTCTATATTTAGTTAGGTGTAAAGATTGGAGTTAAGACACGAGGCTGTAATGGTTTGTCTTATACTCTAGAATATACCAACGAAAAGGGAAAATTTGATGAAGAAGTCATCCAAGATGGTAAGCTGTAATGAAAGACAGACGTCCTCTCTATTGACCAAAATTATAAGTTATATAAAAGTTGAAAATGATAATTAAATCAATACGTAGGTTGTTATCATTCACCGGAATCAAAGTCAAAGATGTCATTGGCTAAGATAGGGAAAAAAAACACTTTAACGTGTAAAAGGTTTGTGGGGCTCAAAAAGGTCATTTCTTCTTAATTGGGTTGTTATAGGTAAAAGCCTGTTCTCAAATCCATACCATATTGTTTTTTTTAAAGTTTCTCTAATTAATAATTATATTATTTTAGGTGTGAAGGTGATAATTGATTCGAAGGCTCAGTTGACATTATTAGGTACAGAGATGGACTATACCGAGGGAAATCTGTCATCCGAGTTTGTTTTCAATAATCCTAATATCAAGGGCATGTGTGGTTGTGGAGAGAGCTTCAATATATAAAGTGATGTTTCAATTCTGTGAAACCTTTTTTGGATGTAAATCTACAGAGTTGGACATGGGGAATTTGGTTTTTGTCATCAGCTGCAATTGATTAATATTTACATGAAATCAGATGTGATTAACGTTTACAATTGATGATTGTGTTAAATACTTTCTTAAACAATCGCATTAATTACCTTGATTTGAAAATTATTTTCCATGGAAATTTTTCCAATGCAGATCTATCAGTTAAACTTGGATAAATTGTTTTATTTTTTTTTTAATCCTAGTGTGAAACTTTTATTTTGGATAAAGTTTGTTTTTAGTGTGTTGAACTAATGGATAAACGTATACGAGAGTGAGTTTGTTTATATATTTGAAATATCTTGTTTATGTTTATTCAGGATGAAAACTTGTGTTAGGAAGGAACGGAGAGGAATATTGTCCTTATTGATTAAGCTTATATTGCAGTGCCTACATTACCAATATATTTGACTAGAGCAGGTCTCATGCTGCTGACATGTTTCAGTTTTAAATCCTTTGAAGGACAAATTGTCAGAAAATTTGGGTGAACTCACCTGTGAGTAAAGAAAGTGCACTTGCATGGTTTATAAAGAGGGTATGGTTATAAGGACATATGTCTAATCAAGATAGATTTTCCGTGCCAAAATTAAGCTAGTCTGAGTAAATTAAAAAGTTTTTTGAATTTTTTTTATATTTTTTAAGAGAATTGGAATATCAGCCTCAAAATAGTACTGATAGTCTTAGAATGTCTTAATATAATATTTTGTAAGTTTATGTTGAAAAGAAACACAATTCTCTCCTAGAAATTTCAACTCAAAAAAAGATTTTTGCTGAAAATAATGTGTGCTCATGCTTATATTTTTATCAAAACAAAGACATTCTAAGACCATCAGTACTATTTTGAGGCTGCTATTCCAATTCTCATAAAAATAATGGGAAAAATTCGAGAAACTGTTTTAACTTTGCTCAGAAAATAGAATCAACAACTTATTCAAGCGAGGAGAAAGTAAAATTACGGATTTGATTTTATCAACAATGTGATTCTCCATAAGGAAAGAAATTACATATCTGGAGTGGCAGTGGCATCAGGTGTATCAGATATTAAGAGATATTAATTTGCTATTGAACTATCACAGTTACCCCTCAAATTGTAATTTCATATTTCTAGAGCTTAGAACAATTAAATAACCATTACCTAAAAATTTTATCATTGGCATTTGATTGCTCTTTCACATTTGATGAATGATTTGGAATTCAACAGTATTTTGGTTGATTGTCAGTCTGTAGCTGTAAGTGTGTAAACCAGTGATAATTTGTAAATTGTATATATTTGTCATATTGTTTGTTAGTGTATATTAAATATAATATATTAATTTATTTGTTTTTGCTGTATGATATCTATATTCTGATACTGATAACAAGAGCTATGTCTTGATTCATTATCAAATAATTGCAACTGCAGGGAGACAATTTTGAACAGAATTAGATTTATAGCTTTCCAAGGAAGTAAAACTCCATTTCTTTCATTCCTACGTTTCTATCCATCCATCCAACATTTTTAAACATGTGCCACGTGTTACTAGTTATAGCTCAGTACAGTGACCCACATTCTACAGACTATTAACTTTTCCAATGGTTAACAATTTTATCAGCATAGCAAGGTGACAAATTTTTGGGTAGACATAAGATCATATTTATTAGAATATTTTCTTATATACATACTTTGATTTCTTGTCAAATTCACCATGAGGCATTTGCCTTGATATTGTTACAACCTGGATATAAAAGTCTTGATCTTGAGTATACTTATTGTAATTTAGGTATATATATATATATATATATATACAACTCATGATGGAGTATAGACATTAGAAATACACTTGATAAGTCTTCGTTAAGTTGTCTGTTTTTCTAGAACACTTTGTCAAGTAGCACATCAAGATGTATAATATTAGAAGAAATTGACAAAACCATAAGAGCACTTCACAATCGTATTTAAATGAATGCAGTGGTATATATCACATACAGATGGCATTTTTCCTGATACTTCACTTATTTTGATGCATTTAATCAAATTGTTATCTTCAACATCTCAAAACAAAAGCTGTATTTTTTTCTTAAATCAAAATCCAGCCAATGAATCAGACAATCTTTTACACATGGAAGTAATCTGTTCATTGTTCATAAACTCAGATACAGAAATAGCGTTCACTATCCCTATTGTTTCTTTAATATTCCTTCCTTTCACCCAGATACGTCCGTTCATTCCAACTGCTGTCTCAAACTTCATATTTTTACCCAGAGTTTTAAATAATACATTATCTGGACTTGTCAGTCTGGAATAGAAATTTAATGATTTACTACAAACATCAAATTCTTAACCAGAGGCGAACATATACATTATCACTAGGACTTATTAGTTAAAATTGTTTATGCTTTACAACAAACATCATTCATATTATTGATAGTTATATAAACACAAAATCTTAAGACTATTTTTACCAAGAATTTAAAAAAATAGAAGCTTAATATTTTTACAAATCTTCTAAATCTAAAGGTTATCAGAGCACATTCTAGGGATTTATTTCAGTCTAAAAACAACATCTGAGTAACAACATGTTTCAGGTTGTATTGAGCACTATTTTAACAGTAGTACTTCTATGTCACTCTACAATTGATATATTGAGTACAATGTTAACATTGGTATTTCTATATCACTCTACAATTGATGTATTGAGCGCTATTTTTACAGTGGTATTTCTATATCACTCTACAATTGATGTATTGAGTACAATGTTAACAATGGTATTTCTATATCACTCTACAATTGATGTATTGAGCGCTATTTTTACAGTGGTACTTCTATATCACTCTACAATTGATATATTGAGTACAATGTTAACAATGGTATTTCTATATCACTCTACAATTGATGTATTGAGCGCTATTTTTACAGTGGTACTTCTATATCACTCTACAATTGATATATTGAGTACAATGTTAACAATGGTATTTCTATATCACTCTACAATTGATGTATTGAGCGCTATTTTTACAGTGGTATTTCTATATCACTCTACAATTGATGTATTGAGTACTATTTTAACAGTGGTATTTCTATATTGCTCTACAATTGATGTATTGAGTACAATGTTAACATTGGTATTTCTATATCACTCTACAATTGATGTATTGAGTACTATTTTAACAGTGGTATTTCTATATTGCTCTACAATTGATGTATTGGGCACTATTACATATCATTATGACTTACTTTTTGACGAGGTTAATAGAGGAATAATGAAGAAAACCCCCATCTCGAATGACTCCCATACCATTATTTCTACCCTGTTTATCAATACACACCAACTCTGATTCCATGTCTTTATTAGCTACTGAAAACTTGGCAAATACGATATCTCCTACCTATAATGAGATAATCAAAATAATAATGTGGACTCTTACCAAGGGATGTTGAGTGGACAAACCTAAACATTATTAGCCTTATATTAGAAGCTATTTTTTGAAAGGGAAGCTGAGTGGACAATATAATGCCAAAATCAACAATACATGTATTAGCTGTTTGATCTAGGATGCTGATATTTGAAGATTCTTTGAATGGGAAGTAGAGATGACAATCTTAAAATGAATACTCTAGATGGTACTCTAGATGGTGTGTATGCCTGAAGAAGTTGAAGTCAATATTTCTACTTAAAGATAAGCTCATTTCCATGGATATAACTTAATTACATGTATATGAATTGAATGATTCAATGCATTGTTTGATCAGCACCAAAATCATCCTATGTGGAATTTCGTGGAAAAGGCCCACAGACAACCATATTACATGTCAAAATAATTAATCAAGAGTAAGGTTGAGAGAAAATCAACAGGATTAGCTACCTTAACATCAGGTCTGTTTCTTTTTGTAGCACCTTCGAAAGCTAAATATGGTAATGTAGCCAATTCACTGCCTCCTACATCCACTCGGAACATATCCCCCATCTTCTGTGTAACAATTCCCAACACTGCATCACCCCTCACCGGTATATACTGAAAAATTACAGAAATAACTGATTTATAGATATAACAATATCTTTTTTTCTTCTATTCAAAAAATGTATATAAACATCACCATCTAACACAAATGAATATAGGTTTTTTAAAAATTGGAAACAATCATGACTGTGCACATACCAATAAAATACCCAGGTGATCTAGAAGCTGATAGTGTTCAATACAGATCAAGGATCTTAATCCAAATCTTAATATAAATCATATTTCAATGCAATGTCTACATTTTAACAATAAATGACATGCAGTGGTTAACCCCCTGTTTAATTTCAACACAAGTGATATCCACCTCTTTAAAGTGATACTACGTCTTAGAATACACTCGCTCTGTGGCTAATATTTGGTAAGTCCACTGATGGATATATACTTTTAATGGCCAAATTTGAGCAAAATTAAAATTTTATTTTCATTCTAAGATGTAGTATCCCTTTAAATCCTTTTAATTTCTAAGGACCCCAATTACAAGTGGTTTCTTCCCCTCAAAAACTAATTAAGAAGGTGTTGATCTTGTCTTAAATCAATTCAGAAATGTGTGATTGATGTTTTCATTAAGACTCAATTAAGAAGCCATTGAATATTGAACTTGATTTCTTTGATATTGTCATTCCAATCACCAATGTAAAATTAAATTGATTAAAATAACAAGAAAACATCATACATAATACACATTTTCATACATCTATTTATGGGAGGACTAGGGAATCGCATACCACAACTTGCTCTTGATAGGCATATAACAAATGTAAACAAAGCAAAACGGATACCTACTCTCTTTTGAGGACTGTCTATCCAGTACAAATTAGGTTCTCTGAATCGAAGCACACCAGGTTTCGATACAGTGACTACATCTTCATCGATTCTAAGCCCGGGACCAACCAAAACTTTCTTAGATGCTTCAGATTCCTTTAAATTGTTCAAAACATCACCCGGCATAAATAAATTTCCCACGTGGGCCGCCATGTTGACATGGCTTTTCTAAAATTTTAGATTCTTAGGAATAATCCGAAACGAATAATCATCAATACTACAGATTTAAGACTGGAAAGTGATAAATTTTCATATTTTTGGTGACATTTTACGTTTTATTAACATGTTTACTCTGATTCTTTATTTTGAGAAAGAAAATAATAGTCTTTTGAAAATTTCCACTTGTAAATGATTGCAGGACTAAGTTTGAAGGAAGCCGCCATTACTCTACAAATTTCCAACATGGCGAACTTCGACAACGTGCAGGTCTCATTGCTGTCGGAAAATGGCCAATTTGAGCCACTATCTGGGAATCCTCATGATTTGGTTGTCAAAGCCCCAGCAGAAAATATCGTTCTATCTTTTGGAAGTGGTAATATTGAGCTTATTTCTTTACTTTTGTCAGAAAACTAGTCTAGATCGACAAAAATTTCCCTCCTATTTTGGTTATCATAACAAAGGCCATTTAATTCCATTGATCTGTGTGATGTCACTACTCATGAACTTACCGAGGCAGGTGTTATCTCATGGGCTACTGACAATGTTTTGAAGCTATTATTACCAGGCAGTTCGAGTATATAATTAGATTTTATATATTGCCCCATAAGTCATGCAGGTGCCCCCATTCAATACTTTGTTTTTTGAAGTCTTATGTCTGTCAATGGGAAGCATGTTTTTTGGCTTTATTCCAGCAAATTTTCATGAGTGTAATCTAATCTACTATGCGCTGACACTGCATGGCAGAGGCCCTCCCAGAACTTCATTGATTTCAGATGGCCTGAGATGAATTTTGAGCGTTTAGGGGGCTTAATTTTCACTTCAAAACAAGACTTTTCACAGACCCGAGGATCATTTATTCATGCTATTTTTGTAGATAAAGTGAAGCCAATCGAAATAAACAATGATACAGAAACAAGTCGACTGGGAAAACAATCTTTAATAATCACCAACAACCAAACCTCTCATTGTATTCAATTTACTTCAGTTCATGGTGAGTAAAGTGGAGGTGGAAAGAGCTGTCCAGAGTTAAATAGCTCAGTCAGTATTGAGTTGGATTGTCCTTTGCTAGGACAGTGGAATAGCTCAGTCGGTAGTGAGTTGGATTGTCCTCTGTTAGGTCAGTGGAATAGCTCATTCAGTATTGAGTTGGATTGTCCTTTGCTTGGACAGTGGAATAGCTCAGTCAGTATTGAGTTGGGTTGTCCTCTGTTAAGACAGTGGAATAGCTCAGTCAGTAGTGAGTTGGATTGTCGTCTGCTAGGACAGTGGAACAGCTCAGTCAGTATTGAGTTGGATTGTCCTCTGCTAGGACAGTGGAATAGCTCTGTCAGTATTGAGTTGGATTGTCCTCTGCTAGGACAGTGGAATAGCTCTGTCAGTATTGAGTTGGATTGTCCTCTGTTAGGACAGTGGAATAGCTCAGTCAGTATTGAGTTGGATTGTCCTCTGCTAGGACAGTGGAACAGCTCAGTCAGTATTGAGTTGGATTGTCCTCTGTTAAGACAGTGAAATAGCTCAGTCAGTATTGAGTTGGATTGTCATCTGCTAGGACGGTGGAACAGCTCAGTCAGTATTGGGTTGGATTGTCCTCTGCTAGGACAGTGGAATAGCTCAGTCAGTATTGAGTTGGATTGTCCTCTGTTAGGACAGTGGAATAGCTCAGTCAGTATTGAGTTGGATTGTCCTCTGTTAGGACAGTGGAATAGCTCAGTAGTGAGTTGGATTGTCTTGGATTGTTAAGCGATTAGGTGCCATGGGTTCAAATCCTGAGTTTTGCTATTTCATTGATTTGTCTTTCAGCTTTAAAATCCTTTCAACACCATTTAAAACAACAGAAAAATAAAAAATTATCAGTTTTTACTGAAAGAACAGATGAGGCCTCTGCAGTCCAGTATTTTCAGGTTGGTTTTTGTAATACATCAGAAACTTTACAAACTTTCCTCTAAACCTGAGAACTAATACTTGGAAGTTAATATTCCATTTCATATGAAAATAATCATTAAAATTTGATTTAGTGGCAATATGGCATTAATGATACTTTTGATGCAACCACTTGGTTTCTCTTGGCAAGATTTCTGTCCTTTAACACTACATGTAGTTGTCAGTTTGTTTTCTTAATCACGAGAAAAAAACAGAATATCCCATCCCTCAACATATCTCCCACTTGGCTATAGGTTCTTCCTTTTTCTTTCCAGTTTTATGGTTATTTATCTCAGCAACAGAATATGATGCAAGATTATATCCGAACGTCTACATATCAACAAGCTATGCTCAGTAATTTATCAGATTTTACTGACAAGGTAAGAATTGCTTTTCACTTTGTCTTCTCTCTAAACTGAAGTGAGCTTATCAATTATTCGATGATAATGCTAAAGCGACATTTAGGGGTAGAGATCACATTAAGTAATGCCTCACAATTTTATGGTACACTAGTCCTGACTTTTATTCCTGAATTTTATTGTACACAATTTACATTTACATTGTTATCATCAGTTTATATGGAATACTACTCCTAAGTTTTATTGTACAGAACGTTTCAACAATTTACATTGTCCTCATTTGATGACAACAATGTAGATTTTTGTAACCTTGTGTATAATAAACCAAGGAGTAGTACACCATGATATTGTATTATCCCATAAAACGATTTGTTTAGCTCACAGCAGTCCTCATGAATTATCCACATTGCTGATTTTGTCCATTTATAAATTCTATTTTTAGATTGTATTAGACGTAGGAGCTGGATCAGGTATTTTATCATTCTTCGCTGTTCAATCTGGTGCTAAAAAAGTTTATGCTATCGAGGCCAGCAGTATGGCTCAACATTGTGAGGTAAGATTACACTTTGTTGGTTGACCAAGTATTGGCAGATTCTACATACGGATATCCAAACAATTCTCATTGATGTCCATGTCTTGAATATTACTATATGATTGATTAACTTGTATCTAAGGTTTAAATGTAGAGTAGAAATAAGGCATTCTTGAATCTGAATGTTAAGAAAGCACAAGCAGTGTCATGTATCTCGTCTCATTGGAATCAGTCTGGAATTTGTGCCGTGTCTGATATTATTCTTTGCAATACTGTTTTATTGAGTGGAATTGACAATCGATCACCAGTGCTCGGATTTATATTGTGCATAAAAGCTTTGAAAGGGTTCTAATTACTAGCTTTGGTTTTAAATTTTTTCAGATGTTGGTGGCCCACAATAATCTAGGTGATAAGATAGAAGTTATAACGGGTAAAGTGGAGGAGGTTGACGTGCCAGAAAAAGTTGATATTATAATCTCAGAACCCATGGGGTATATGTTGTTTAACGAACGTATGTTAGAAAGCTATTTACATGCTAAAAAATGGCTCAAACCTGGAGGTAAGGCTATCTCTTTACACTCTTTCATGACCCTGCGTGTTGTACAGTTGGAAATCAAAATTACAATCAGTTGGAAATCAAAATTACAATCAGTTGGAAATCAAAATTACAATCAGTTGGAAATCAAAATTACAATCAGTTGGAAATCAAAATTACGATCCTTTGACAGTTAGCTTATGTTGCTGTCTACGCAAAATTTGCAAAATTGCACACTGCATTGGCATCAGATATGTTGGACCTTAATCTTCATTCCCCTTTTAATGCTATTTCATGAGTAAAATTGCCCTCATTGGACACTGCATGTCTTTGTATCTAAATTTCCTTTGACAGGTGTGGAACATAAGAGTGGAATGTGCTTCTATTATCATTTGCCAATTCAATTTTTAAAAGAGGTACTTGTATATTAATTGTAATTGACATTTTTGAAATTATTTTCAGGTAGAATGTTCCCTACTCAAGGAGATCTTCATATAGCACCGTTTACAGATGAAGCATTATATAATGAACAATATTCTAAAGCTAATTTCTGGTACGTTTTATTGAGAAAATGCTCCTTGGACACACAGTATTTTATTTTTCCCTCTGTTTAAGAAGTTCAGGCCACATATTCTCGAAACAATCTTAGCACTAGGATGTCCTAGATTCTTATCTTCTAACATTGATTCTAGGACATCGTAGCTCTAAGATCATTTCAAGAATACATGGCCATGTTTTGAGTAGAATTGTGACAATGATTACAAGAAGAATTATGTCCTTTGATAGGACATTTGATTGCAACATGAATTAGAGTTTCTCCTGTGCATGCCCCTTTTAAAAATAAAAAGGATAGTAGATTAATGACACTTTCTTGTCGAATGTGTGCACCCATCTTCATTAGCCTAATACAAGGCCAGGTATAATGTCACAGGCAAGACAAACAACCCTAATTTTAAAAACCAGCTCTTCCTATTAAAACCCTCGTATACAGTTTCACATGATAGAACGGTATGCATGTGAGGAATAGTTCATTTAAAATCGAGGGGTGTCAAATAAATGATTCACTATATCAAACCTTGCTGTTATTATGTAAATTTTAATTCATTTGACCTATTTCAGGTACCAAGAATCATTTCATGGTGTAAACTTAACAACTCTACGTAATGCAGCAGTTTTAGAATATTTTAAACAACCTATTGTAGTTAGTATATTTGTACAGATATCATATATTGAAACCTTGTTGCCATACTTTACCCCTCAATTCTATATGTGGCTGAATTTTATTTTTTTTAAATCATCTATGAGCTCTGTGAGAGCTCCTGTTCTGTACTAGCTATTTAGTTGCCACAAACTATGAAGACCCACAGATTTGCCTATAGTTAAAATTCAGAGTTATCTGCAGATAAAGTAGATATTTAGATGACGGCTTTTTACATGCGTCTTTATGTTTTCAATTTAATTTCTAAAAATGGTATGGATGGCTAGGATTAAGTTCTGTTAGTTGGTAAAGTGAATATAGAGACGACTGTATAACTATAATGAAATGATTATCTTTCTTTCCAGGACACATTTGATGTAAGAATTTGTTTATCCAAACCACACAAATATTCCGTAGACTTCCAGAAAGCAGATGAAACTGAGCTCCATGTGATTGACATTCCCCTCTCCTTCACGCTTCTAACAACTGGTATGATACATGGCCTTGCTTTCTGGTTTGATGTCGGTTTCTTTGGATCTAGGTAAGAGTTTCTGTTAAAATATTATTTTCCTTATCTTATCTTAGCTGTCGCTCTCCTTGCTATAAACTTTCATGAGGAAGCATTAGAGGATTCTGGTTTGCTTTCTGGGAAGAATTTTCGCGTAAAAATATAATGTGATTGCCCTGTGTATCATTGTATCAGTCATTGTCATAAAGAAACAGTTGATTGCTGGCTTTTATGTTGTAGTTCATGCTTTGAAAACCATCCAAGATAACAAAACTTTTAGTGTAGAGAGTGTTTTAGTAATCCTTACGATCTGATTTCTTTCCAAGTTAGATTGTGGACTGGTGTGTACATCTGTTAAAAATCTTTATCCTAAAGAATATAGATATATGGTCAGTTTCAGACAGTATTTTCTTGTCCAAATGATAGTTATAAAATCTTGTATATTTCAGTAATAACGTATGGCTATCGACGTCCCCTACCGAACCTCTCACTCACTGGTATCAAGTAAGATGTTTACTTCAGACCCCAGTGTTAGTAAAACAGGGCCAGGTTTTAACAGGAAGATGTGTTTTAAGATGTAATACAAGGTATGGTATCTCAGTTTGATTAATTGTGAATTATTTACCTTACACCTTTCTTTAGAACAGTTGTGAGTTTTCGAGTTGAGAAAAATGGATTCTGTATTGTCCATTCCCTATTTTTGAGGCAATTTGTACGGTGACAAACTTAGTCACAATAGGTCTCTGAAAGACAAAGCTGAAATTGCAATGTTTTCTTCTGAAAATTGAAAGCTATAGAAACAACTTTGATTGTGCGAACATAATATTGTTAGTCTGTACATTGAAATACAAATAACAGCTTTGATACTAAAGTTTGAACAAGTTTCTCAGTTTATCAGCTGCTGTATTGGAAAATTAAGATTCTGTACTTATCCCAATGGCCCTGGCCTTCTTCATCTATAACTGAGGATCTGAGGCTAATTTTATATTTTGGGTTTTTTTTCAGACAAAGTTATGACGTAGATATAGAAATAAATATACCTGGTACCAATTCGAAATCTATCAATACCCTAGATCTCAAAAATCCTTTCTTTCGTTATACTGGTCAGACGCCCCAACCTCCACCTGGCTCCAACTCACAGTCAGCTACTGACACCTATTGGAACGCTTATACAGGTAAGTTACTTGTCTTGTCAACAGACTGTGGCATCAGAGTTTTTGATTACCTAATTGTGATTTGAGGCTTCTACATCCACTTCCTTGTTTCTGCAGCCTAATATTCTTGTTTGTCAGAAAAGTTCGCGGACAGGTATCCAAAATATTCATTTTGAATTCGAACGACAAAATGTGTGTTTTCCCCTCTGTAAAGTCATGTTTACAAATATTAACTTTCCCAATGGTTAACATTGTCATCAACCCAAAGACAATCTATAAGTCTCTCAGTAGTATTTTGTAATTGATGTTTCAATTCATATGAAAATGATTGTCAAATTTCAATTCAGAAAACAGTGTGGTCAGAGAGTGGTTCTGCGAGTTCAGATGCTTGCTTTTTGTTCAGATGATAAAATACCTTTTGGTTTTTTCCAACAGTTCTTAATTATATTACAGGTCAGACCAACCAGTATGTTAACGGGTTTTTAAACGGCCAGGTGGACGCCAGTCAGTTGATGAATCAGGGAGTTATACCAACTAATTTAATAGCAGTTTGTAAGTTATCTCCCTTTAACTTTTTAAATGCTATTGGTTCCCTCACTCCATAGCGATTACCAGTTGCGTATGGTTGGGAATAATGAAAGTGGCCATGAGTTCCAAAGGTAATTCACAAATCATTAGCATAAGAGTTGCGTTGGACACTTTTGACCGCTATTCTTAATTGCAACCATACACAACCGGTGATCACTATAGTGTGATTTTGGTTTGAAGCAGAGTGCACATTAACAAAAAACACAACATTTTGTTATTAAAGAAGTGTGTTATAAGTTTTTTGTTTTTTGTTATATTTTGACATTCTGTATTAGTTACCTCTAAGTCAAATGGGAATTGGGAAGTTTCCGAGAATAATTCCAGTTTCTTTGCCGATGCCAAAATATTCTTATAATGCCTTTGCACATGATCTATGGGAGCGTTTTATTGGTGAGTGCTGCTCATATTCTGGGCGTATAGTAAAACAAGTTGGAAAAGGGTTCAGATTGTGTTTCGCATGAGCCAAATAAAAGGTGGTGTGGTGTAGACAGAATTCGAAATTCCTGAGAAAGGAATAAAAGGGTAAATTTTGAATGTGATTAAGGTCAGAGATTGTTCAGAATTCACCAATCCAGCGCCACCATAATCAATACCGAAGTACAATATTCATGAGGTCTTGAATAAACACTAACATGATTGACATGTGTAACAAGTTTTTGTTTATTTTTTATGTAGCCACAGTGGCTCCTATAAACCCAGGCAGTATTCCCAGTGTTGGTCAAACAGCAGTTTCCAATAGTCATCGGACGTCAATCGGAGGGGGGATCAGCCCCCTTAATTTTGCCCCACAGGTAAATGATATAGTGCATGCTGTCAGTTAGCTTTCCGTTTACTTTCCGTTTTAGAATTAACTTGTTTCTTAGTTTTTAGTTCTATTTTATATTGCTTAAAATTTTGTTGAATATTTTTTTCATCAGTGGAAGTTTTACTGAAATATTATCTATTGGGTTAATTGAAGAAACTTTTGAAAATTAAGATTGAATTTTGAAATTGTGTTGAAATTTCTTTGTATAAATGAAAGTTTTACTGAAATTTTATCTATGGCCTCAATTGAAGAAACTTTTCAAAATTCAGATTTTATGATTTTCATATGTTGCTCCTCTCTTTCTATTGTAATGTCCGTTCTGAAACTAGAATGTGTGTCTGACAATATTTTGGGTTTTATTAAAGAGATTGTAAAGATGTTTTCTAAATTTTTCATGTGTATCAGGAACACTGATAACATCAATTTGCACCATTCCAATTTTCAATCAGACGTCTGCAGACGTCTGATTGAAAATTGGAATGGTGCAAATTGATGCTATCAGCGTCCCTGATACTCATGAAAAATTTAGAAAACATCTTTACAATCCATTTAAGTAAATGGGAAGAATTATCAACAGTACAAAAAAAAATACTATCACAAAAAGTTGAAAATGTCCAAATTTTCGGTGTGCAATGAAAGCTAGTTGTAATAAGCATAGAAAAAAATATACTTCTGAAATAACAGCTTCCTTTTCTGTCAATCTAATCTTTTTTAAATTATCAATATTTATTTATCTATGAGCACTTTTGACACTATAAAACTATATTGTTTATCTGTGGCGGCCATGTTTTTGCAATTTCTTATTTTTAAATTTGTTTTTTGGCTTTGAAAATTGCATGTTTTATTAATTCTGAAGAATGACATTTGACGTAAATACAAGCCATTTCATTTGTATTGTTTCCATTAGTAACAAAAACTATATTTCAGTACACTACCGAACACTGAAATTATCTCCCATTTTCTTTCTTTTGAATTTGGAAAGAGACAGCTGTAGGCATTTTTCTTGTACCAGTGAATTTTCGAATGAATCATCTGCATCTGATTCTGTTGACTGTGGTGTTCAGCCACATTTTCTAGAATTATTTGTATTTTGGGCACCAAGTTTCATGTTTTCCGTCAGAACATTTTAGGGGCTATGAGTTAGAATTCAAGTTTTTGAAATTTTTAATGACTATATTTGGGATACTAGAAATAGTAAGGTGATCAACCAGGAAATAAAAATAATTGAACGCCCTGAAGCATTGATGATTTTCTCATGTCCTCGTAAATACTGAGACTACAATGTAGTATTTTTATACTGACCAATTTTAAACCAAAAATTAATTTTCATATCCCACTCAATAACATGGTGTGTATCATTCGAACATTAGACTTAACTGTGGTATATTTGTATATTTCAGAGTGTAATCTCAGGAGGAACTCAACATTATCCAGTCAGCAACCAGTTTATGATAGGAGATTACGTGATGCCAGGAAATGTGGTAACACCTAATCAGTCTTACTATAAAACAGAACAACAAGTTAATCAATGATGTTCTTTATAATTAGATCAACTATAGCCAACAGAATTTATATCCTTACAGGGATTGTCAAGAGGTTTTCGCAAAGGCCATATGTTATTCAAGCCTATTTTACAATTAGTGATGTCATCACACACTTAGTTTTAGTAAAATTGCAGGAACCACAGTCTTGTGATTGAAAATTAAAATGGTGCAAATTGATACCATCAGTGTCCCTGATACACATACATTTTTTAGAAAACCTCTTTACAATACCTATAACCCACTTTTATCTTTGAAATCGATAGACAGTTTGTATATCTGGAAAAGTTCATTAGAAAGTTAACCTTAAACCCCTTTATCTTTAAATGAGCCATTCCATTCATAATATACAGCATCATTCTGATGTTGCGAGTGCGGAGTTCATTTGAAAGTTGAGGGATGTCAATTAGATGACTGGCAAACTCTATCCAGCCTTGCCCTCAATGAAATATTGTTGTTTAATTGGTGAACTGAAACTGAAACAAGATGTAGATAGAGAAACAAACAATATGTTTTGTCTTCAAAAGTTTGATTGTGAACTCTTTGTAGAAACATAGATCTGAAATTTCAAACATAATTTCCCAATAGATCTTCTTTTCAATATCATTTGTAAGTGTGAAATACCACACTGCGACAAAAGTTGATCGGGACACATTTGAGAAAGGGGGTGCTGGAGTATATAGTTTCTGTTGGCTTGTATACCGGTACATGTTATTTTTAAACCTGATGATTGTAAATAGTTATTATAGGACTGGATAATGTGGACTACAATATTGTGAAGGAAATGTTATCCAGTCCTAGGTTGTAAAGTGCTAAAAACCATTTTGTGTTGCATTGAATTTCATATAGAGTGTTTTTCATTCAAGACATTTGTGTGTCTGAATTTAAGAAAAATTGAATTAGCCCAAACAATTTTTATGGTAAAAACTATGTATCATAAATAAATCCTCTAAAACTCCTATGATACCAATTTTGTTGCAAGTGTGAAATTTTACATTATTTCTGTGTGAAATGGGACTCTTTTCTCTACCCCTAAATGTTGCTGTAAAACAGATTTTCAAAAGTTACTTACTCATCTTCACAATATCAAGTTATTTTGACCCAAATTTTTTAAGGTGGGCTCAACCTTGGCGACATAACATGTCTTTCAAGTCATCTAAATTTTTCAGAAGGGGCTACATTTTCTTGTGGGCCTGGCCCCTCTCTAGATACAAGCCTGGACGCAGATTGTACTAGCTTGACATTGTGTGGATGAAGTTAGGTTAATCAAGGGTTCCAATGAGATCAGTTTTTTTGCAGCCATTATGTTTCAAACCTTCATTTCATTTTATAGTCATTCATCCGGTGTTTTTTCTTTTTTTTACCTCAATCTGGGTTAAACATTGATATGATATCCCTAATAATGTAAATAGACTGTTCCAATTTCTATATAGCAATGGTTGAAATATGCATTATTGGAATAGGTCAAAAGGAATTGAGGGGTGTTCAGTTATAGTTATTATCTGTTTATATATAAAACCATCTTGATAATAATTATTGGGCACAACAACAAGTTTAGGACTGTGATCTTCAATATAAGATAGTTTTCTTCAGAACAGTTCCTATGGCCACAACCTTTAAACATTGTTTTGATTAAATAAAAATAATTTACAGTGTTCAAATAGTGCTGAGTAGGCTATATAATCATAGAGATATACAGAAGCTTTCATTTTTAGAATTATACAATTAGGGCATTGGATAGCCATCGCCATGACAATATGCAAATTTACTACTAATTCTTCTAGCAGGAAGATTTTGATTAGTTAATCTTATAACATTGTTTATCTCCCTTTCCTTGAAAATATTTAGAATTAATCAGATTTGTTTCTATGACAACAAAGATTGTTTATATATATAAATATTGTATGTAGACTAGGATTGTATATTGTTACCATGGATATCATAAAATTTCTCATCATCTTTTATGTTTCATAGTTTGTTTTCTGCCATTTATAATTTGTGAAAATATTCAGGTATCTACTGTGTAGCTACTTTACTTACGTTTTTTTTCCTATTGAACAAATTTCGTCTGCCATTATCTCACCAAAACCCAAACCTTTTTTTTTAGTTTATGTTGAAAATCAATTGCCTTCTGGGGCCACAACCCTTTTTTCATACTTAGCTGGGATTTTACTTAAATTCAATGCAGCTCCTACAGTTGCACAATGCTTGTACCTTTTCTTGAAGTTGAGAATGGAAATGTTTTGTGGTCCTGTGGTCTGAGCCTTGTCAGAAATTTTGGAAATATCGATCAAATTTCAAAATTATTTGCAGATGTTTTAATTTACATTTTCAGAATTCAAATTTTAATAAATTGTGATTTTTTTGACTTAAAATAAAGGCCTATAATTATTATTATCATTATTGTTATTTTCATTATTATTATAATTAAAATTATTATTATTATAAGTTTGATCAGTAATTATCAGTGTCCGATTAAAGCAGATTTCTCCATTTATACAGCTGTGTTCTATTTTAAAATGTTCATCCTTCACAGGTTCAGATATTCATTGAGATTTTCCACCTGGTTTTCTTTTTGTCATTGTAAGCCCGGAGCTACAGGGGGGCTATATTACTTGCCACTCCGAACAATCAAGTCTGGCTAAAGGCTTGTCATTGAGGAAACAACTGTGTTACAGTCTGTGCAGGGAAGCAGTTGAAACATATTGATAATGTCAAGCTATTTATTACGAACTACGTCTTATACCTAGACTACAATGATCACCTTTCTTGTATCATGGAATGTGGATTGTCACATGTCTGAAGCTGGCATAGCCTTCAGGAGACTCTCAGTGGAAGCATTTTGTCGAGACATGATAGGGATATCATCATGGTAGAACCTTCAAGAGATGCTGCTACGACTGCCTTGACTATTTCCACGTCAGCATCCCCATGGTGCATTCACCGCTGTGCAACCCTTTGACCTCATTCCATCAGTTATCATATGATATAAGTTGTTGCTTATAAGCACCTCTTGAAATTATTCCCCTTTCTTGCCATTGAACTCTGTTACAGAAGTAAAGCTAACAATGGGATGGTTGTAATGGTTATGTCTCTGATGTGTGACATCTTTGATTGATGGCCAAAGATCATGACCATCAAATACAATTTCACTACTCAAATGTTCTGAGATGGCCAAAGCCTGCTGTGGCTTATCAGCCTTCCGGACGATAAAACTGGCTTCAAAGAGGGCACCATCTTCAATAATTGATATAATTCTGTATACACTATAATATTTTGTTTTAACCCGAAGAATAAATCTTTATCATATTAGCATTAACAGAGTCTGTGGGTATGAAAACCTTGGTGTAAACACCAAAATCAGTGGGTATGAAAACTTGGGTGTATTGGCACATTGTATGATGAACATTCATCATTAGCCCATTCAGACAGGTTCAGTAAAGTAGGATGTAAATCTCCATCCCATTTCCAAAAAGAGGTAACGCTGCTGTCTTGTCTGAATTTTCTACACAGTATGGCATTGTTTTTTATTAATTCTTTTCCACTACAGTGACTCAACTAGATGGTTTTGGGCCCGTGGACTCTAGTGGGTTTGGGCCCGTGGACTCTAGTGGACTCTAGTGGGTTGGGGCCCTTTCCCACCCAAAATTTATTTTTTAAAATATGCCATCCTTTAATATAACGAAGGATTTAAAGATTTTCAATCCCCTTTAGTGGTTGGGGCTCGTGGACTTGGTTCAACCAGTTCCCATGGCAGTTGAGCCACCCTTCCAACATGAGGTAATGCTACTGTCGCGCACAAACTTACTACAAGCATGGCATTGTCCATCTTCATAAGCTCAATTTCTTTCACACCATCTGAGCATTGAGCACTGTTTGTCATGCTCAGTCTGCTCAGTCATCATTAACTCAATCAGACTCAGAAAATTTGGATGAATAACTCCATTCCGTTTCCACCATTTGGATAACTTTCTGAAGCTTCATCAATCTCATTATAATCGTTTTAAATTCAAGTTGGCCTCCAAATATAAACTAGAATTTTCCACTTATCTGGTTTATCTTTTTTTTTTTTATCTTTGAACACAATTAATTATCAATTTTAACTTTTCCAAACCCATTTCAACCACATTCTCTAGCTTTCCCTAGTCCTAGTTTATCTATCTAGTACGAACTTCGACATGTACCTTGACTGCAATAGCCAATTTTACAAAATACAGCGATTTGATAGGATTGTAAGCTACCGATTCAGCCAATCATAGTCCTCGACAGAAAGACCGTAATTATTATGGCTAATTGTTCAAGATTACCTATCTAAGCCCCTAATTATACTGGGCAGTTGGGAATCGAAATAGAGTTGTCTAATGACACTTGTTGAGGCACACATAACTCGAAGCATAGGCTTCATGTCATGAAGTGTGTCCTCGGTTTTCGTATTGATCTTCAGATCTACGAGCCAGATCTAGATCATAAAGATCAATTTATCGACAGGTGAACTTAGACCATAGAACTATAATAGATGGAACGAAAATCGTCACGTCACAGAATGCGATGCACAACATAATTTGAACGACGTCCTGTCCTGCCTCTATGGCACTAATAGTTCTATGCTTGGATCAACGGTGGTAATTTTTATAACAATCTTATGTAGAAATCTGTATAGTATATTTGTATTATTTTTCTTGTTTCACATTGCACTACTGAATAATGTACGTAAATTCTATGCTGTCCTTCGTATGGTACGCAATGATACAATAAAATATGTTAACTTATCTGTTAAGGTCTAGGTCTTTAAGTCATCTAGTTGCTTCCATACCCAGACCCGTAGCCAGAATTCATCTGTATGGAACCGAGACATGGAAGATGTCCAAGAAAATGCACACCTTCATCAACAGCTGCCTGAAAAGAATTCTCCACTGGTCCAAAACCATCAGCAGGTTAAGCCCTGTTAAGACCAAGCGCAGCAGGTGTGGATGAATTGGTCACTGGCCGGTATCCAGACTCAAACTTGATTGTTCGGAGGGGCAAGTAATATATCCGGAGAGGGAATGGTATATGGTGTTTAGTTGCAGTAATGGAATTATTGGGGTTTTTTTTCAGGGGAACAATTCATTTTTCGGAGGGGTTACGGGCCTGTCCATCCTGTCCACAGCTTTTCATTTCGTTCATGTAATGTTGACATCTTGGTCCAATTGATTACAAGAGACAAAAGGAAGTGTGGTAGGAGGCATCCATGGAAAACTCCACCGTCTACACCTTAGGCTTTCTGTAGTTTCAGACGATGGGCTAATGAAGATATGTAATTCAATGTAATATGTACATTTTCCAAGGTAGCGGCATACGACAGGCCCGAGCATACGAAGGAATTACTTTTAGAATGGTCCATTGTGAGCAGATCACAGACAGTATGGGTATAGATTCCGTAGCGATCTCAACGTCGATTATTGGCGACAATGGTGCCCACTAACCATATCTTCCTCCACGCTGATGGTGACCTTAACGTCGTCGTAACAGCTCGGTAAGGACGCCTTTCTTACTTGGCGAGGCCATTACTGAACCCATTTTAGTATACATTCTAGTGACCTTTTAGCTGAAAACATTTAATTTTATATGCATGTCCTATTTTTCTGTGTATGAAAGTCACCTAATTTATATTTTTCAAGATAATAGTTTGATAATTAATTGTGATAAAGCGGCTAATTATGAAACAAATGAAATCTTTGACACCTGTGATAAACTAATTTTTATGATTTGATATGATTTATCATCCTGGGTTCATGAACTATGATATCTGGCATCAGCATAAAGCTAGGGGTTACCTGTAAGTGATCATGGAAAACATTTTATAACAACAATCACAACAATTGCGGCGTCAGTGGAGGAGAGCATAGAAAACGATTTATTCCTCTAATTGTAACCCATTTCTTTTCTAATGTAATAATTTAATTTTGCCCAAAAAATATGTGTCAGAATATACCAAATCTAAATTTCAAAATGATTTTGAGGGAGACCTCTCTCAGACACCACAATTCGAATTTAACCTCAATACAGAGCATTCTCACTCAATACCACTGTGCAATTTGTACTCTCAACTCGGCATCCATTTTGTATAATTTTGGGTAGTCAAAGGACGACTATCCATAAATCCCTTTAAAAAACAATTGTCTTTTCACCTCTCGGGACTTTATTTTTTATATTTTTCGAGATTTAATCTATACAATGGGCTTATAAAAAGGATTAACTAGATTAGCACAATAGACCTGGTCCTGGGTAAAGATTATTGCCAAGCGATAGTCACGGAACACCTGATGGACAGATGGTTGTTATTCTCCTGAAATACAAAGCTTCATTAGATCCATAACATCAAAATGAAACGAAATTGTGTTTTACCTCCTTCCTTTCTCAACCTGATTGAGCTAGTGACTATGCATAGCGCTTAATATCAATGTGCAACTGGTACTGTCAACTCAGTAAAAAAGCCTATTCAAAAAGTAGTCTAGTCTCCTCTCATAGATTCAACAATAAACTGGATTAACAAGTGCAATCAATCCGGCTCGTTTAACAGTGACTCAACTAGACATATGGGGGCCCGTGGACTAAAGTGGGTTGGGTTCTTCCCGCCCGGTAATTCATTTGTTAACATAATGCTCTCCTGTATTTTGTTCTGGGAGGGGGGGGGGGCCCAACCAGTCCCTGCCGTGGTAGTGGAGCTGCTGTCGTTTAGGGGAAAGATCATTGCCAAGCGATTGTCACTACTGTAACACATTGCAGTTAAAGCGCTCAAATTCAATCAAATTTATGGACTTGAAACCCCAGGACTGTTATCTATTATCAATATACCATGTGATAAATCTCGCTGTGACTGATTTCATGTTTTAAAACCAATAGAAAGTACGTAATTATACTGATTACAATTAAAATTTGACTTTTCACCCCAATTTTAACCTTGCACGTGATTTAAACCAGTGTTGTGTAAGAGGGCGTTCAAAGTACAAGCCGTTTTGATCAACAAACCAAATTAAAAACTTTACTATGTAAATACACACTATAATTTCCATAACTTAATTTGTGTAAATGAGAAAACTGATTTGGGGGGTGCGGGAGAGGGGGTTGTGGGGTTCGATACAGGGGATATAAATAATGTACAATGTATGTTTTATTTCGTTCTGTTCACCTTGTCTGTTCCGCTCTTAGTGTCGTTTGTACTAGAAATAAAATGTATGCTTATTTCGCTCTGTTCCCCTTTCCGACTATCCTGTGCCGTTATCGTTCTTTTCCCAAATATAAGACTGGCCATTTCCCCATCCCCCAGTTTCTAATATTGAGTCGTTGAAAATCCTGTCTTGCTAGCCTTCCTTGGCAATTCTAGGGGCTCTGCTCGACCCCTCCATCTTAACATCCATAGACAAGCCATTGTCCGTTTTTCTAAATGCTGCTATCCAGAACTGCTCTTCAGTGCCATTGTCCCCATTCTGCAACACTACTAGATAGTTTAAAGACGGCTTTGATAAGAACTTGTATGTTTGGAATTTAAGATATACTATACTTCCGACAAAAAATCGGAATAGGAAAAGGTATAGTATTTCTCCAAGCAAAATTCTGCACTTACAACAAATTCTTACTTAAGATTTTCTGTGGAATGGGGCCCAGATTCTAATCCAAACGATCTAGAAGTTTTAGCATGCTCATGACTTGATGTCCATTCTTGTTTCCGACCGATGCGGACAGCTGTTTTTGAATTGTGCTTTGGTAAGTTCCTCTCCAGATTAGTCAAAATAAGAATTTAATGAGTTGATCTGAGAAATTCTAACCACCATTTAGTTCAACGAGTAAAAATTAAAATAAGTACCAACTATTCGAACCACAAAATAAAAACAAAATATTAACGAAATATTAGCAGCAGCTAATGAACTTTCACATGAGGAAGTATATCAATCAAAAGTGAGTAAGTATTTCATAATGAAAAGTGGTATCAGGTGTTTAGTGCCAT